TGACAAAATTCACAAACGTCAACGACCTTTAGTTGCCTAGAAATAGGTCAAGGTTACCAGCAGACAGGTAATCTAGAGTTCAAAGGATTCTATCGGCTGTCTAAAAAAAAAAGACGAACCATGTAGAGGGCAATAACTCGTTCATGTTTGAACGCATTACATTAAAACTTCGAACCACTAAAATCCAATGAAGGTGAAATCAAAATGTGTCGAAATGAAGAAAAACAATTAACGTGTTCGAAAAATACTGAGTTTTAAAAGTTTCACCCAAAATTGAGTACAAAGAAAAACTGTACTACTTCTAAAAAAATCAGCTATGGCCTAAATGTATTTGTGCATTAAGAATTAAATGTATTCCAAACTGACATTACCATGGACTGGGTGTTTAAAAAAACACAACCTCATTCTAAGTGCAATGTCTTCCTTTGGGACTTTTTAGAAGACAGGATTTACAAAACCATCCCACAAACAACCGAACAATCAAACAATTGAAACTAATTGTTCTACAGGAGATCCAAAGAATCGACCCAGAAACATGCCAAATGGTTATTCAAAAATTTCCAGAGGCAAATTCACGCCTGTAGGGAGAGAAATCATAGTCAACGTGTGGGTAATAAACTATATCCGATAATTGAGGAGATATTTGACAAGAAGTCGCAACGCAATATTTTTTGACCGCATAATAAAACAGTCCATCAATAATTTGTTTACAGCGACGCCAGCCATCCATTCCACGCTGCTGTTTCAGCCACTTCTTTGAAAACAAGAAACTCAATCAGAACTCTTTGCTCTTCGACGGGCCTCTAAGGGCGCAGCCATTTCCATGCAACATCATTCACGCCAAAAAGTAAATCAAAGCAACAACAACAACAAAAAAGCCCCAAAAGGACACCCTCCCCCAACCCCAAAAAACATCAAAGTTAAGGAAATTTATTCGTTTTCATTTAAGAGTACATGTGTAAGTACGTGTGAGCCGAATGTCAGGCAATTTGGTGCAAAACTATAGTGTACAATAGAGCACAACTTGTACTACTTTGTGACTCCCCTTCATGCAAATAGAGGTTGGGGAGGGCGAGGATGGGGGGAGGGGATATGGGGTCGAAATACGTGAGAAGTGGCATCTGTTTGATAACCCTGACTTAGAGATTTACAGCCACCTAAGCCGTGGTACAGACGTGTGACGTCATAGAGGATGAATGGAAGAAAAGGTACAAGTCGTATTTTTCAGTCTCAAGTCTCTCACAAATTATTACAGAGGGTCAAACGGTGCTTGCATTATACAAGCTCTACACAGCATGTGTACGCCAACACGGTTGTTCAGGAAGTCTGTTTAACTTCGCAACGGCATAGTTTGAAGACATAAGCGACATATAGACTTTTCAGACCCCCTCTCACCCCTTTTCAAGGACACACACACACACACACACACACAGACACAGACATACACACACACACACACACACACACACACACACACACACA